TCCGGGCTCGGCCAAAATGTACGGTGGGAAGTTGGAATTCGTTCTTGGCTTGTGCTTGTGATATGTACAGATTCCAGGGATGTGCAGTGCCTGTCTGTGTCATTGTTGGGCTACCTCGGCTTGATCACTGCCAGCACGCTCTCAACTTCCCACAAGCTGTTCAGTAGCGGATGAGAGGTCTTTGAGCCAAATGCGCGTAAGTCCTCCATGTGCCAGCAAACTCCAGTGTCCCGTGACTCCGTAACTTGCGTGGCAAACTGCCAAATAATAGTAGTAATAGTAGTAATGGTAATAATAGTAATAATGGTAATACTAGTAATAACAGTAATAATAGTAATAACAGTAATAATAGTAATAATAGTAATAATAATAACAATAGTAATAGTAATAACAGTAATAACAGTAATAACAGTAATAACAGTAATAACAGTAATGATAGTAATAATAGTAATAACAGTAATATAGTAATAATAGTAACAATAGTAATAATAATAGCAATAATAGTAATAACAGTAATAACAGCAATAATAATAATAATAGTAATCACAAGATGGTTCCCGGTATGCATGTCTCGACCGTGACTCTGTATTTGTCGTCCCAGGATCCTGACGACAACAATGGCGGCGACGAAGGAGGACGATGGCGGGGAATGGGGAGTTGGGCATCCGACATGCAGGAAAGGCACTCCCAGATTCGCAGATGCAGGGAGGGCCTTCGAGACACAACTGCTCGCGCCTCTGCAAACACAGGTGCACACACGCGCGAATAACTGTCTCCGACACATGACGAAAAACTCTGATCTCTCCTTGAAATATTTCTTGCTCCTCTGTACGCTCTGCTGTGCAATATGCTATCTGCGCTCCCTTTCTCTATTCGATTCTGTTAACCGTAAATTCACCCGTTAACTACCTACTACGCCACTACGCACGGTTTACCATGTCCTAGTTGCTCGCAGCCTCATGCACGGCACTTCGCACTACCTTCTGTGTACATGTGTATTTGTGACCATATATATATATATATATATATATATACTACTTACACACATTAACTTTTACTGTTTGCACTTTACTCTTTACATATGAATATCTATGAGAATTGGGACGAGGATGACGATGATGGCGAAAACCAGCATCTACACCACACTATACTCATCATCGCAGGGCCATCATCGTCGGAATCACAGGTACGACCATCATCATCATCATCATCATCATCATCATCTTCGCCTGCAGCAATGCCAGAATAAACCTAAACTCCTTCTGCAAATGGTACTCAATATCGTGTTGTTAGTCTTCATACCGTAAGCACCGCTATCACGACGACTCTGCGACCTCTAACACTGTTACACTGTTTCTGCTCGCCAGACTACAACAACAACTACAACTACAACAACAACTACTACTACGACGACGACTACTGCTACTACTACCACCACCACTACTGCTACTCTTGCTGCTGCTGCTGCTGCTGCTGCTGCTGCTGCTGCTGCTGCTGCTCCTTCTCCTGCTCCTGCTCCTGCTCCTGCGCTGCCACTGCGACTGCGACTGCTACTGCTGCTGCTGCTGCTGTTGCTGCAACTGCTACTGCTACTGCGACCGATATCGCTACCGCTACTGCTACAAAAACGACGAGATTCGTGTGGCAGCTGCAGCTGCGAAAAACAAATCAAACAAACATAGTCCTTGACAGTAAATTAAAACCAGGAAATTTGAATGGAACGTCGAATCTGTTGCTGCTTTGTGTTTTGCATCTTTGGTTTCTCGGGGTGTTTGACAGCTTGCCATTCATGACCACGAAGCCACACAGACCACAGTCGAGCCCTCGGCTTTTTTCGCATACCGACGCGCCCTCGCCGGAGAGCGAGGCCAGCCTGGTTGGAGGCCAGATGCACGGAGAACTCCGCTAACAGGCTTGCGACTTGAGGAATGAGGTTGTGACGCATTACGTACGCATTTTCAGGACGATGCTAGCCGGGAACTGCTCTTCCAAACGCCAACCAGTCTTTTTCCTGCATCGCGACATTTGAGGGGTTTGGCCACTGCCTATTAAGGCACCGGGGCTAGGGCAGCCTTACGAGAAAAGCTGCCTGGTGGCCACCAGCTGCCTGGTGGTGGTGGTGCTCACCAACCGTAGCTGACGAGGCAAGGCCAGAAAGCAAGTTACAAAGCATCTGGGAACCATCAATGTTGCCTTCCTTTGTTCTTTCGAAGAAACGACACCAACCTGCAAGATGCGGCATTCCGTTAAGAGACCTGTGACCTGAGCTTATGATACCATACCCAGAAAGACGACACTGGAAAGCAGACGTGATCTTTGCAGCGTGGGATGGCCGAAATACTCAGGTGCGACCAGCATGAGAAACACAGCTCCGGAAAATCTAGGCAATGTATGGTTCAACACACAGCAGCAACAGCAGCAGAGGCAGCAGTGGCAGTAGCAGTAGCGGTAGCAGTAGCAGTAGCAGAAGCAGAAGCAGTGGCAGCAGCAGTAGCGGTAGCAGTAACAGTAGCAGTAGCAGTAGCAGCAGGAGCAGTAGCAGTAGCAGTAGCAGTAGCAGGAGCAGGAGCAGGAGCAGGAGCAGTCGCAGTGGCAGTGGCAGTAGCAGAAGCAGGAACAGGAGCACATGCAGGAGGCAGGAGCAGAAGCAGCAGCAGTAGTCGTAGTAGTAGTAGTAGTAGTAGTAATAGAAGTAGTAGTAGTAGTAGTAGTAGTAGTAGTAGTAGTAGTAGTAGTAGTAGTAGTAGTAGTAGTAGTGGTAGTGGTAGTAGTAGAAGTAGAAGTAGTGAAAGTGGTAGTAGTAGTAGTAGTAGTAGTAGTAGTAGTAGTAGTAGTAGTAGAAGTAGAAGTAGAAGTAGAAGAAGTAGTAGTAATAGTAATAGTGGTGGTAATAGTAGTAGTAAGAGTAAGAGTAAGAGTATTAGTGCTAGAAACAGCAACAGTAACAGTGGCGGTAGCAGCAAGAGTAAGAGTAATAGCAACAATAACAAGAATTCTCTGAGTAAACCTTAGTAATAGTAATGGTAGAGGAAATAGTATGTAGTAGCAGTTGTAGTGGTAGTAGTAGCAGTAGTAGCAGTAGCAGTAGCAGTAACAGTAGTAGCAGTAGCACTAGCAGTAGGAGCAGTAGTAGTAGTAGTAGCAGCAGTAGTAGTAGTAGTAGTAGTAGTAGTAGTGGTAGAAGTAGTAGTTGTAGTAGTAGTAGTAGTTGTTGTTGTTATTGTTGTTGTTGTTGTAATCGCGCTGCTTGTAGCGGTAGCAGTATCAGCAGCATCAGCAGCAGCAGCAAGAGCAGCAGTCGCAGTGGCAGTGCGGGGGCGGCGGCAGTGGCAGTGGTGGTGGTTGCGGTAGTGGTAGTCGTAGTGGCAGTCGTAGTGGCAGAAGTAGTGGTAGTGGTAGCGGTAGTCGTAGTGGTAAGTGGTAGTGTAGCGTAGCAGTGGTAGTAGTAGTTGTTGTTGTCGGAGTAGGAGTAGGAGTAGGAGTAGTAGGAGTAGTAGGAGTAGTAGGAGTAGTAGGAGTAGTAGGAGTAGTAGGGTAGTTGGAGTAGTAGGAGTAGTAGGAGTAGTAGGAGTAGTAGGAGTAGTAGTAGTAGTAGTAGTAGCAGTAGTAGCAGTATTAGTAGCAGCAGTAGTAGTAGTAGTAGCGGTAGTAGAAGTAAACGTCGTCATCGTAGTAGTAGTACCGGTGGTGGCCGTTGATATGGTAGTGGTGCTGCCGGAAGTAGTAGCCGTCGTTCTTCGTAAACGAAGGTTAGAATAGCAGTCATCTCTGTAGCAAGACTACCAGTAGCAGTGTTGCCGGTGTCTCAGTGAGTGTAACTGATGCATGAACATCTAGTCCACAATGTTACGAACCAAATATCAAGATCGACCCAACGCTCGGCAAGACCGGGACGTACTCCAGAGGTCTGGAGGTGGTCATGGCCCAACCTACTGAAAGGTTTCAATCTTAAATGAACATCGGCATGAAGCACGCGTTTGCAATGCAAGCAAGGTCTTCGGTCCGGGACGAGCATCCGGGACCGCAAAATGCCCCGTGATATCGGCGGCTGCTATCGGTGTCAGCCGCCCCCTTTGCTGACTGTTGCTTATCCTGATGCTCCCGTCAGGTTTCTTCCGATCTGTGTCGTTCGTTTGTCGAGAGGGCACGGATGAGTCCTCGAAGGCGCAGCAAGATGATTGAAACTTGCACGTGTGAAGTATGCCGCAGCTTGCACTATTGAACGCTGAACCTTCTACGAGGCAATCTTATGCGACCAAAGATCCTATTGCCCCTGTGTGTAAGGGGTTCGTGAAGATAGGAGGTCCTTTCGTAAAATCAAGAGTATATGTAATTCGCAGTATCTTGCACATGATCCGAGACACCGTGTCGCGATCCCGAGGCACTTTGCAACGGAGCAAACATGCAGATTGACACGCATCATCTACTCAACTATTCCGCAGCTGGTTCAACCCTGCTCTGTTGGACCAGGGCGTTTCTCGTACACGATAATACTAAAAAACAGAAGTCCACACGACCGAAGACCTGAGAACAGCCTGAAGAGCGGCAAATGTATACTCACCGCATCTTGGCAGAAAGATACATGCACAACTTGGCGCCAGGACATAGGAGCTTGACGCCTTTGGCGCAGTCCCACAATCCATCTGCACGAAAGATCATATCATAAAGCTGCCGAGTTCAACTCGGTAAATGTTGCCACACAGAGAAGATTTGACGTCCTCTGAATTTCGACTGCGACTGGCTGTTGTGAACCTTCAGCGTTCTTGTCTATTCTTGTATCCTGTCGCGAGACGTCCCAGGCACGCCCGAAACAGAAGGCAAAGATTAAATGGCGGCCTCCTCTCAGAGTCGGGGATAGGCGAATGCACGAATCCTCGGTGCACCGAGGCTTCTTGAAAATGAACCATCTGATTTTGGCGTATGTAATATGTGATAACTCGAAACTTCCTTGGCATGTGAGGTTCACAGGACAGGCTTCTGCCCCACCCTGCAGCAGAGCCTCATGAAAGCTCGTCGCCTTCTTCGAATCCAAACCTCATGCACACGGCCCGAAAAATATGACCGGGAAGAGCTTTCTTAAGGCTCTCTTCCTTCGTCAGGCAACTCTGTTCGGATGCAGTCGAGTTGCGCGTGTGGTGTGCCAGCATCTGAGAGAGCTGAAATATCTTGCCTCTGAAGATAGCAGGCTGTGGACAAGACAACACAATTGACTTCCAACGTGGCTGAAGCATTCCTTCAGCTCATGCGAGAAACTGTGGAGATACTGTCACGACTGAAGCCATACCTTCGATCACTGCAGGGGTAAGTCCGGGTAAGTTCGGTAGTAAGCATCAAAGTCGTCCGGCACGGAACAGCACCACAGGCAGGTCAAAACGATCCTGACACAACCCATCATCCATGGGCACTGCTGGCGTCAACCACGGACGGTTACCGTGCTCCGCACAATCAGTGTATAATAGCGCAATCATCGGTGTGCTTGTGGTGGTCCCCGTGCAGTGGTATTCGTGATGCTGAGTGGCTGCTCATGCTGGTAGTACTGGCAACTTCGACAACTACTGCTACTCCTGCCCCTACCGCTACCACTACTCCTACTCCTATTGCCACACTGCCACTGCTGCCACTACCGCTGCTTCTGCAGCTGCTGCTGCGGCTGCTGCTGCTGCTCATAAACTTCTAGCACTGTTGGTACTTGTACTGCTAGTACTACTATTGGTGCTTCTAGTGCTTCTAACAGTACTAGTACTACTAGTACTAGTACTATTAGTACTATTGATAGTACTAGTGCTATTAGTACTGAGTACTACCAGTACTACTACAAGTACTTCTACTGCTACTACTGCTACCCTCCTTGTTGTCGTAGTAGTGATAATAATGATAAAAGTACTGCCACTACTACTACTACTGCTGCTGCTGCTGCTGCTACTACTACTACTACTGCCACTACTAGTGCGACTATTACAACTGCTGCACTACACTACTAGATTATGGTTTCTCATTAGATAAGCACCAGAAGAAGCGTTGCCATTCTTGCTGTTGTCATAGGTGATCTCATAGATTTCCGTTCTGCACACACCACCGCTTGCCTTGGCGTGGCATACTGCGAATTGGAAGTCGGTTCCATAATCTCGCCGAGGAAATTGCAGAGCTCACCTTGGTCTTCAGATCTACCCACCAGCTGGTAGACAAAAAGTAGCTGCTGCCCTCTCCATTCTAGGCTATGGTCATACGACTGCAAGAACGCAGGGTAAGCACGGGACTGATCTGAACTGGAAATCAGATTGAGACCCACTTCGAGCAAGTCCCTCAAATCATAGCCTTGAGGAAAGGTCCGCCCAAACCCCGCTGCTCAAGGATCCTGAACTGAACATCCGTGGAACCCATTAGGAAGCTTCAGCGCCAGTTCTTCTTCGCAAGAAAGCTTCCCACGTATGATGTTACACCAAACAGAGACTCGACGTCATCAGGCTTTGACAATGTGGGGCGATACGATTTTGAGGCTGTCACGTTCGCTTTTCAGTGCGAGAAGACGGGAGCAGAATACACCTACAAACTCGCGCTTGGGCAGAGGTGGAAGGCTCCTGGGCAGGATGACGAATCTATTATTGTTATTACTATTACTATTATTATTATTATCATTTATATTGTTATTATTAATATTATAATTATCATTATTATTATCATTATTATTAGTATTATTATCGCTACTATTATTGTTGCCCACCCAGTGACAAACCAACGTCTCGACTTGATGGAACTCCTCAGACAAGAACTTGCGCAGCTCGACAATATCCTGGCTCCAGGGGCAGCAAGCTGAAATGAACTATTACTATTACTATTACTATTACTATTACTATTACTATTACTATTACTGTTACTGTTACTGTTACTGTTACTATTACTATTACTATTACTATTACTACTACTATTACTATTACTATTACTATTACTATTACTATTATTATTATTATTATTACTATTATTATTATCATCAATATTAATCGTCCTACCGCTGCAAAGGCAAGCAGGTATATCTTGCCAACGTAGATGTATATCCGAGGTGGGTTACCATTACTAGATATTCAGTCCGCCACTTTCAACCCGAACACCTTGAACCGTATACCCCAAACTCCAAAGCCGAGTAGCGAGGAGACAAGAGACCACAACGAGACCAACAGGAAACCATCGTCAGGCTACAAGGTCACCCCAAGAAACCCTCACAGACCACGACCAGGAGACCACCAGGACACCCCGATGAGAATCGCCCAAACGGCCACAATGCTTCCAGATGCTTCCATAGAGGTGCTGGTGGAATTCAGACATTTCGAGGACAAAATAAGGCCAACCACAAAAGCAGCAGCAGCAGGGGCGCCAGAATAAAAACCACGCAGGTTAATACTACCTACCGTCTGTGCTGCTGCAAGTTCGGCGGCCTCCGCAGACACATGTCCGCCGTGGTTGAATTCAGCATGCACGGCCACAGCAACTGACAGTTTTCTGCATAGCCAGGCAGTAAGACAGTTACAATTTGCTCCGCAAACAGTGCGGGGCAACATTGGGTGTAAGCTGCAAAAAGCACATATGATTGGTTAGACTATTAGAGCATTAGAGCTAATTAGAGTTTTGCGTGTGGCGCGCACCGGAAGGTTCAGCGAGACGTGGCTCTCGCTGTGGCAGGGTGTGTAGTTGCAATCATGTCTCATGTACACAGGATCCGGACCGCCGCCTCCGCGGGAAAGCTCGATTCGCTGTAAATTCCATTACGTTGCTTCGTCTAAATATTGGGAGTGGCTCATTCATGACCTTATTCATGCTCGTTACGCCTTTGGCGAAAGAGGTCGAGAGTAGCTCTTGGTGAAACTGCTTGTGTTCTTCACTAAGCTCTGCTAGTGGTAACGTCTAGTAACAACTGCATTACATCTACTGGCCAGTTTTTTCACCGCTATATAAATGTCGCATCGGCCATGGCAGTAGAAGTCGTCGTAGACGGAAAAAGCAGGACGGTAACCCCTGTTGGCTGATGTGACTGCTCTGCACTGGCACTATCAGAAATGCTGGGTTGCTGGATATCGGCACACGAGCAAGCATTACTACTACCACTCTCCACTTCAACAACGACGATAGCATGAGCCGAACTAGAACTATTGGCAATATCACGGCAGCACAAATAGGGTTACCGCCAGTCGTGCTTGCGATGAATATACAGCGATTCAGAATAGAAACAGCCGACAAGCTAGAAACGTAAGCTTTTAGTCGAACTGTAGTACTAGTTCGACAATTTGACTGCATGGGCGTTAGTTAGCTTCAATTCAAGGAATAGCAACGACCCGAAATTCGACGCAAGGACAGACCCACGTTCTCGAACAGACCAAACTTGAGAACCCCTAACACGACAACTGGTGAGCTTCATGAACGAATGACCTCACACTGGTGTAGTGGGTCTTAAGCTTCGCCGCAGCTTCTTGCTGCCAAATCTCCTTCACTGTGGTCTTGTTCGAGCCACGAAGAGTTAGCATAGCTTGCCTGGGGTCAAGCATCAGCGTCCATGCCTTGCCTAAGAAGCCTCCAGAGCGGCAAATCCTGTCGGAGGGGCGAACAAGCACTAGCAAAGAGACGGAGGGGACGACAGCAAAATGAAGCCGAAAGCAAGGAAGGTAGCAACCATAGGAAACTTTCCACACATTTCGCAACCAACCGCCCCAGTACGACCTGAGGGAATGCACCAGAAAAAACGGAGAGGGCGGAGAGGATGGAGGCGACGATATGTTAGTCAATTCCCTACACCAAAGTCGTTGACCCTGAGCCTCGGCTGCGTTCGTTGATCCGATAGCGCTGACCCCTGCCCTCTCACGACACATGCTGCTTCGTTCCAAGTTGCATGAAATCCACGAATGATGCCTTCTCGCCATCCTCGAAAAGCAGCTTTCCATAGTCGTAAGCGGCTGACACATCCTCAGTCAGCAGCCCAGCGCTGCCAAAGAAGATGCAAATATGCAGATATACATGAATTTAAATCCACATCTACACCTACATGTACACTGTGTATATATATATATATATATGCTCACGCCCCCCCCCCCATAATCCACCCGAACCTGCTTCTTGCAAACAGCTGATCATGGGAGGTGGGCAACCTCGGATGCGAAAACATCGCCAGGCACCAATTTCCCCAAAGTTTGCAAACCTGGAAGTGTGAAAACATCGCCAAGCTCCAAATTCCCCCAAATTCCCAAAATCTCAGCAACTACGGCCCCGCACGCCTCACAGATTTTGGGGACATTGGAGCCTGGCGATGTTTTGGCACTTCCAGCTTCACAAACTTCGGGGAAATTCGAGCCTGGCGGTGTTTTGGCAACCTCGGATGCGAAATCACCGCCAGGCACCAATTTCCCCAAAGTTTGCAAAGCTGGAAGTGCGAAAACATCGACAAGCTCCAAATTCCCCCAAATTCCCAAAGTCTCAGCAACTACGGCCCCGCACGCCTCACAGATTTTGGGGAGGGGACATTGGAGCCTGGCGATGTTTTGGCACTTCCAGCTTCACAAACTTTGGGGCAATTCGAGCCTGGCGATGTGATGGCAACTTTGGATGCGAAAACACCGCCAGGCTCGAATTTCCCCCAAATTCATAAAATTCATAAAGCTGAATTCTGATGGCCCCCATAGATGCCAGGATATTGGGAATGTTGGGGAAATTGGAGCCTGGCAATGAATCTTTGGGGAAATTCGAGCCTGGCGGTGTTTTGGCAACCTCGGAAAACACTGCCAGGCTCGAATCTCCAAGATTCCTGAAACCTGAAATGCAAAAGTAATAGAAGAACAGCCGTACCATGTACTCATACATGAGCCTTCAATTGCTTCAGTTCCCAACTGTGCTCTTGCTTCTTTCATCGAGCAAAGTCATCTGTTGTTAAGATCACCTTTGCTCAATGAAGGAAAAAGAAGAACAGCTGTACTTTATGATATTGAAACCTACCTGTGTTTGTGGATGCTTTAGAACGTTTTATGCGAAGGCACATGTTCGTTGAACTGTACATCAAATTTAGATACTGTCGAGTTCTTGTTTCTGCATCGACGTAAGATCTTGCTAACCGTTTAAACTCATGCCCGTTGCTTGAACAAAGAAGAAGTATTTCTTGTACGTATTTGATATTACCTCACAAGCTAAAGAAGCTGATAAGCTCCGATATTTCATATCGTTACATATAAAGTGAGCTCCCCAATAGTCCTGTCTTGCCTTATTGCTTTGGGGTTCCCTTATTCAAACTCAATACCAGGAAAAAAGGTACCATTCAGGCGACACTGGGGAACCTGGTAAATGAGCTTTCACTTGCTTCGATTACTGGCGGTTACTGACTCTTCTCTCGTGGAGCAAAATCATAACCGAGTCAAGGTCAACCTTGCTCAAGAGGTAAGTCAAGTGTTTTATTGCTTTCCTTAGAGCATAATGAGAAAAGATGTGTTTCCACCATTTCTCGGAGGCTATGAGGAGAGGTCTGGAGCTGTTTCATGCTGTATTCAAAGATGGCAGGAGCTTATCACTCTGGCGAGTAGCGCGGTGCAACGGAGCTCGATTATGTGTTCTGAGCCAGGATCGTCTTGCATCTTTTTAATAGTGTTCAGAAGAATAACGATGGCTTTCCAGATACACGCTTGCCTTAATTCCCACGAAGCATAAAGTTGGCATAAAGCGTAAAAGCTTCAGATACTCTGCTTGTGACCGAATGTATTGGAGTTTGGTGGAGGGAGAAAATTTTCCTTGCCTAAACACTCCGATTTTGTGGTATTGGTATACTGTAACAGCTCGTTGAGTTTCAGCCACTGAGTTCCAGCGACTGATAAAGGGCTAAGGTGGCTTATTGTGTTTCCTGGTGCTGAAAAAAGATTTCTAAGGACAGCACCACCTGAAAAAGAACAACCATGGTTCCCTTGTCTGTTGAAATTTTGAAGTTCCTCTGTTCAGTGTGGTTACACTGTTGCTAGTAAGCCAACATACCACTTGCATGTTTGCTTTCACTGAAGGAGTTGTCCTTACCCCTTATGCTATGAAGAGAAGAGCAGCTGTGTCTATTCAAACTGTACATCTTAAGTAGTTCGACAAACTCCAAAATCCAGAACCGGAATATGGTTTCGGTTTCGGCTTGATGATATAAAGGAATAATAAGTCAGGTAGACATGTACATGAAGTGGAGAACACACCGTAAATACCGATAGATTCGGACTCTAGGACTAAGCATCTTGGGAAAGAAGACTGCGCAGGAGTATTGACAAGAAGGCTGGGGTGGATCATGGGGGGTGTGTGTGTGACCATATATATATACACACATATATCTATATATATATACACACACGTATGCATGGTACCCCATCCCAGAATCAACGCCTACGCGACAGCAGGCATGGAGTTCAGATTTTGGGATCTGGAAAACATCAGCGTCATCTGCACATCAACTTCTCCTTGCATCTGATTATTCTGTATGACGTGTGACATGTGAAAAGCAGCTGAAATCGCACGCTGCGTTTGCTTGGATTGTTGCTGTCTTACTTGTCTACCGATGGAATAGCAATCACTGTATATATAGGTCCTTGCTACACTCGTGAGAAAGTTGGGCTTCGGAAATATGAGAGCTCCGTTATACCTCAGTCCAATCTGGTCATACTCAACCGTACGTATAAAACTGTACGTCTTAAACCATCAGTGGAAGGGCTGTTCTTTCCTCCATAAGAAGTGAGGGATGCATTTTGCAAAACAAGATAGACATAGCCCTAAACCCAAACCCTGAAGATTCCAGGATCTTCGAGAATGCACCCGAAACGGGAAACCCAGACTACGCATATTCCTCGAACTCGTAACAAGCGAAAAGCAAAAGCACCAAAGATTCCAATCTCTTCGAAGGGATTTTTCTCTCGACAGTCCCAAAAAACCGGAAACAGAACAAACACATAAATCGAGACCGTCCCAACAGAAACAAACAGATCCAAGCTTCCCAGGTCTTCTAGAAGCCATTTTTGTTGTTGGGAAGTCACGAAAACTTCGTTTAGGGGTTGGTGACTGTCTCAAGAAGCTGCCTCCTGGAGGCCTTGGCATCTCTCTGTTATGTTTTTCAGTCTGTCTTGCTTTTGGGTGTCTAGTTTTGGCTTTCTGTGACTGTCTCGAAGAATCTGCTCGTTGTGGGTTTCTGGCTTGATGTATTTTGGGGCTCTGTGGAGAAACGGCCATTCGAAGACCTTGGAATCTCTGTCTTTCTGATCTGTTGTTCCAGCCTGTCTGGAAGAATGCGCTCATTTAGGGCTGCTGGCTTTGCTTGATTTGTTCTTGTCTCTAGGAAAATGCTCATGCCGGTTCCCTAGCCCTAAACCCCGAAACCGTCACTAAACCTTAAAGTCTTAAACGCTTTAAGACTGTCGCGAGAAATGGCAGGAGAATATAGGAGAATGGTCTTGTGGGATCTCGGGTCTTCCTCTTTGGCTGTCTCAAGACATGGGCTTTTGAAGACCTTGAAGTCTGCCTCTTTCCGGACAGTCTCGAGGAATGAACTTGATCGCTTTTCCGGTCTTGACGTTTTGAGACTGTCTCCAGATATAATGCCGGGTGTGCGTAGTTTGGGTTCTTGGTTTTGCATAACGACCTTTGGGGGCAGGGCGGGAGAGGGTAGGGGGCCGTAATACCCATAATAAGGACTGAACAAGGCATCTTTAGGAAGGATAGTCCCCTACCCCCCCGAAGGGTCCCTGTAGGTTTTGCCGTTTAGGACTGACTCTTGGAATCCTTGATGTGTTCGGTTTCATAGGGTGGTACGATCTCGGTATCCTGATACGATACAGCTCCGGGAGAGGGAATAGCACATATGCACTCACATGGGTGCATACACACATGATGCATGCATGATGCATACATACATACATATGAATATATTATGTACGTGGGCATATACATTATACACACGTGTAGACTCCGTGTAGACATCTGTTTGTGCAGATACACGCGCACACGCATGGTGGCTCATGCTGGTCATCTCGCTTCTATGTGCTCGAACACATCTCTCTCCCGAATCCTGCTTATATTCTTCGCCAGTGCTACACCAATACCCTAAACCCCTGCAACCCTAAAACAACAAACCTTGAACCCTAGTCACTGAACTCTGTAACGCTAAATCCCCAAAACAAAAAACGTATAAAGCCCCAGACGAACCGCCTTACTATAGGGGCCTTAATAATTACCTCTACTATGTTGCGAGGGGTTCCTTTTTGTAACCAATTCTAAATATTCGGGCCCCTATATTAGATCCTTATGGTAGCCCTCTTAAAGGCACCCTAGTCCAATGATGAAGGTCTCTATGTTAGATCCTTCTAGTAGCCCTTTTCTAAAGGCACCCTATTCTAATGATTAAGGCCCCTAAATTGAGTTTCAGCCGAAGCTCCACACCCAAGCTCATCAAGGCTCTGGCCGCCTTCGGCTTCTTCAAGAGATTCACGAACTCCTTGCCCCGGGGTTTTAAGGCGTAGTGTTTAGGGTTTAGGACGGTTTAGGATGGTTTAGGGTTTAGGGAGGCTTAGACGCCTGCTTGAAACTTAGGGTCTAGAAGGCTTCTGATGCAGATCAACGACTTCGACTGCAGCCTAGCGTTTTCTTGGCGCGCAGCGCCGGCCTTCTCGGAGAGTAAGTTGTCCCCATCCTCATCTCCCTCCTTGTCGATGAGCTCCCACAGAACCTAATCGGCGAAAGGGATCTGAAAGCAATCGAGACATGTAGGGCACCTGTGAAATGCATTCATTTCGGTCGAAGAGCTTTTCTCGCAAAGTCTGCGTCCAGCTGCTCTCTCTCGATCGTCGAAACAGTTTTCACAGCCTCTACCAGGACGCCCAACAGCATGTTCATCACCTGGCAACAGAAGATGACAGAAGCATGCAACGAAAGCACAAAGGGTCTTAAGTTACAGTATCAGCATCTCACGCTGGAGGAAACCAGCTGAGAAACTGCTGCAACAATGCCCGGCATCAACGCAAAGGCAGAAAAGCCAGAGGTCGTAAATGATGCTGACCCTTTGCATGATGCTCTGTCTTTGGCCGTTGGTGGCCGTCGTGGTGCTGTTAACTGTGGTAGCAGCGGTGGTTGTGGCGGTGGCCGTGGCGGAGACGGCGGCGGTGACATTGGCGATGGCGGTGGGGGGTGGCGGCGACGGTGTGGAAGTGGTGCTGATGATGGCGGCGGTGGCAGCGGTGTAACGGTGCTGGCAAGGAATACGGCTTCCACTGGTGCTGCTACGAGTTGGAGTGCATTCCTGTCCGACGACCCTTTCACTTCACCGCCCTGCCATTGCAAGAGCTTGCCAGAGTGCCTTGCTTTCCCAACTTAGGTTCTGACCGTTAATGATCCAAGCAGAATGAACAGCAATAGAAGCGCCGCCAGGGGCCAACTTTCAGAGGAAATGGTGTTGATGAAGACCTGCCCGGCAAGACACACACGCACTCCTCTAGACTCGGGAATTCCAGAATCCTCCGTCCCGGAGTGCAAGATTGTGCAAGAACCGATTCTGAAATTCGGTGCCGGTTCGGCAGCAAAAGCTTGAGCGGGGCCTCCTGATCTGGAAGCACACATCTCAAGATCCTCGGGCACGAGGACCCTTCCGTGCCACAGCGTCAACATTTCAGATCAAACCGATATGGCGATAGGAAGTTGCTCTGCTAAGCCAAGCATCAGCGTCATGATAGACGTGCCCATAGACGAGAAGTACTCATTCTCCAAGTTTGGATGGCCACGGCTGAACTCGATGAAGGTGATGCTGAAGACGAAGGTGATGAGGAGCAGCAAGACCAGCGTGAAGAAAACTGAACGGCAGGCCACGAGCATGCCCTTCACGAGGATCATCAACTCTGGCATCAGCTTCACTAGACGAGCCTCACAGCAGACAGCGCCGAAACACTCTGCTGCATGCTCCGACCTTGTCAAGAGTGATGCTGCAGTAGCAGCGGTAGTCCTGCATCAAACAAAGTAGACTAAGGCCGGTCTTTGACGAAGCGTCCTCGCCGGGGGTGGCTGCCGTACTCTTATGGAAACAAAAGTCTTAAACATTATGATGTCCAGTGGAGAGTCATCATCCTGGACCGGCCAGAACCATGCCTATCATACTGGTTGAAATAGAACCAGCAGAGAGCACCAGTACCGAGAATGGATTCGATCAGCACATGTTGTGGCAAGTAGTGATCAGTACACTCTTCACTGCCGTATGGAGTTAGAGCAGCAGGAACAATCATACCAACAGTGAAAGCATAGCGATCGTAATGGTGAGAGCAAAGGTCAGCTGCATAAGATGGTGGATCTGCGACGAAGGCCTTTTTGCAGCTGAGGGGCCATGCGCGCCTGGACAAGCTGCGGGACAAATTAAAGGCACACTTTCGTTTCTGTTCCAGGGTCCAGGGTTTAGGGTTCGATGCGGCTGAAGTGGAATGTGGATGATGAAAGAATAGCCACAGAAGCGAATATAGTTTTGCCATTGAAGTGTTGGTTCCCGACATTTGCCACCATGAAAACAGATCAGGTAACTAGGCAGCAAGAACACTAAAAGTTCGCGAGATGAACGTCCCTGTCAACTTACAACTCTCTGCTCAGCACGCGCTCGATCTTTTGCGCGATCCGCTGGCACCCCGTGCGTTTGTTCTTTTTTGCTGGCTACATTATCATTCACTGGCAAGAGCTGTGCAACCTCCCACACTAGCTCAGAAAAAAAGAACTATCACATGAGTCACAAGAGAATGAAACCTGAACTCGGTCATATGCAGGGGTGCAACTCCCCCTAGTGACCCCTCCAGGATGGTAGACACATGGGTGGTCGTCAAAATTATGGTCCCTGTTTGGGTCCCTACTATAATACGGAACCTACTATTTAGGGTACCCAAAAAGGGACCCCACATGACAGAAAAGCTCTGGCATCGGTGCATGCAGGGTATCAAACAGTTTATAGAATCATGATGTCGCTCTTCAGCGTTCTCTGCAGGCTTCTCTGAAACTTGCGCAAACAACCCGGTTGCTTTGACCTGTGTTTTCACACGGCAACGTGTTATGTTGTCCAATTCCGCGTTCTCGATACCTGTTCATGTCGCTGCAGCCACCAAGCACAATCTGCAAGCTGCAGCAGGGGGCGCATCTCGATAATGAGATCAGCAAGCACGGCAAAGCTCGTACGCGTCTGCTGCTTCTGTTGCTGCAGCACAAACGGTCTACACGAAGAATGAGCAAATGCTTGATCCAGATACGGACGGTGGTGTGATACCGTCGCTGCTGTCGGTCGTGCTGGTGCTGGTGGTGCAGGAAGTAGTGGTGGGGCTGGTGCTCGTGCTGGTGGTGGGAGCTGAATTGTTGTGGTGCCGGTGGCGGGCGGGAGTGGTGGTAGTGCTGCTGCTATTGTTGCTTCTGCTGGCGATAGCTTTTGGGTCAATTCCGGTGCCGGTGTGGGTGCAAGTTGCTGGTGACCGCCAGAAACAGTGCTGCCAGAAGTGGCGATACAATCCTATGCTAGTGTTGAGATTCTTGCTATCGCTACAATGATCGGCCGAGGGGCTGTTCGGAGTACTCGCAGCACACGCGCCACGCGCAAAGCATTCGCTGTGTTGAGTGTGTCTCCGCCCTGCCCGACCGCACTCAGAAGTGGAAAGACCTCAATGGGATCGCATGTCCGATGGACTGTTGACGAACGCCGCAAGCTCACATCCATCTGAACGTAAGATTAGCGCAAGAAGATGAAAAAGAAACAAGCCTACGAATGCAGTCCTGAGGATAACACCAGCCCATGCTCCTGCTTACGATACTGAGATATGACATATCTCCTTCTACAGTGTAGTGCCAGCCTTGCACGCCTAGAGCTGGAACTCTGCTGGTGCAAAACCACTGTAGCCGCAGCAAGAGAAAAAGGAAATATCGAATCTGGATTGTCGAGCCCCTGAGCCCTAAACCCTAAACCCTAAACCCCTAAACCCTAAACCCCTAAACCCTAAACCCTAAACCCCTAAACCCCTAAACCCCTAAACCCCTAAACCCTAAACCCTAAACCCCTAAACCCTAAACCCTAAACCCCTAAACCCTACACCCCCAAACCCCTAAACTCTGAGCCCCCGAACCCTAAAGCGACAAGCAGCCCATGTCTCGAAGTTCATAAGCACCACTAGCAAGAAGTCGAAGGAGAACCACGCATCTTTCAATGCTTGGCAGGTAGAAATATAGGTGGCATATCCTGAGCTGTAGTGGTTTAGGGTTTGGGTTTTAGGGTTTAGGGTTCAAGGGTTAAGGGTTCAGGGTATCCTGAGCTTCAGGGTTCCTTCCCTAAACAGTATACGATCCCTGTGTTTAAGGACCCCCAAATCAGGGTACATATCCTGAGCTGCAGAATCCGATGGTGCTTCTTCATACCCTAACCCTTAAACCCTAAACCCTAAACCCTAAACCTAATGCCCATCCGACGACTGTGAGCCCGATGTCAACAAAAAGCTGCGGCTCCTCACCCGGGAGTTTCCGAAGTTTAGGGGTACCTTATTTTTGGGTCCCTAGAATTAGGATCCTACTATTTAGGATATTATACCAAGTTATTTTGGGGTCCCTATAATTAGGATCCTACTATTTAGGGTAATATACCAAGCATCTGATGACAAGCTCCACAGAGAAGAAGATGCAAAACAAGACTTCTGCTACAATGAAGATTGGGTCCGCTTCAGTGATCACCGTGTAGTCGCTGAATTCTGCGTTGATTGCCATTTCCACCTCGATGAAGACATTTTCAGTCGGCAAGAGGAGTGGCCAAACGCCGCAAATGTCATGTGTTCTAGAAGCCGGAAGTCTGAAATGATACGGCAGGTCATGCGAGAAGCAAAAACACCCTCACCCGTTGATCTCCAGGCCTAGGCCTAGGCCCCTGCACCCTGAGCTCAGATCACTGCTGATCAGAAAGATTACTTTCTGAACAGGGACGGCATTCAAGAAGATGACGGACAACGTCAGGCGCTCAAACCACGGATTTCGGACGATCGCCAGGCAGCGATTCCTCGGGCTGTGTTTCATCGTGAAGCCAAACCAGACAGGGGACTTCGCAATGAACTACTGTCTTGCTGTAAAGCGAGTATACGAAGTCGTCTTTCAACTTGATGTCGCTTTGCAGGACTCCCAAATTGAAATTCAAACTCTAAAGCCCACCTCCGCAAGAAGAGCAAAAACTGTGAAGCCCAAGTTCTCAGCTCTCAGGCTGTCCATGCGATCCCACCTTAGCAGTCGTTTCGGGCTTTGGGGGGCAGGTAGGAGGTAAACCCGGTGAATCTGCCGTCCCAAGACCCCTCAACTGAGGGGGCCCTCTGGTTGCCCTTGAAGCGGGCGGTGCCAGTGATAACTGCGGTGTCAACATCTTGCCATTCAAAGTCCAGGTGCTCGAGTCCATCTTCGAAATTCTTTCTGACTTGTGCAACCGAGTACCTCGGAGTCGCCGAGATTGAAAACGGTGATTTTGTGAGCCAGTTGCAGGAGGAACATGGTCAGAGGAAGCTGAATTCATGTGACACACTCACGGAGCAGCCGTCGGCAATCGTACAGTGCAGCTACTAGGGACTGGTGTGCCCTTCACAAACTTCACAAGTCTGACAAAGAAAGAGGTGCCGTGGACAAGACTATTCAGTATTCTTGAAGCCTTCTTCTCCACAGGCATCACACGCAACGATCCTGCGCGCTGGCCAGGTGCTCATTGTGGTACTTGCCGAAGAGGCCAGCAGAATGATGTTGGCCCTCCTTTTCTGCCAACTCCTGTCAATTTAACACAGACCAGGCCCTCTACGCTTTCTACAGTGCCTTTAACTTTATAACCGCAGTGAGCTAATTCCTGGATACCTCGCAAAGGATTGTCATCCTCAACGTCGTCGTCACCAACACCTCTGACTATCAGCAGCAGCATCCGCGACCGCAGCACCAGCACTATCACATCGTCATTGTCATGGTATCATCATCAACAAGCAGCACCATCATCGAAATGACAGCAAAGCAACACAGCATTCTCACCCTCGCTGTCATGGGCGTCTGACTCTAATGATGTCAGCTGCTGATTGGTGCGAGGCCCTGAATGCGGGTGAAGCGCGTGAGACTGCACAGCGGAAAGGTGTGCTTGTCCAGCCCGTTAGAGTGATGATGCCGACCAAGTCAAGATGGGCTGGAGAATCATGCTGAATGATGACGAAGATGATAATTTCGATTGTTGATGATGTCTGATGACGCCGGTGTAGACAGGACAAGTAGTAGTAGTAGTAGTAGTAGTAGTAGTAGTAGTAGTAGTAGTAGTAGTAGTAGTAGTAGTAGTAGTAGTAGTAGTAGTAGTAGTAGTAGGGTTGATGTTATAAATCCTGCATTACCCATAATCAGGAATATGCCACAATTCAAATAGTTTTGGGTCCTTAAGGTAATGCAGGATTTGTATCAGCTGTAGTAGTAGTAGTAGTTGTAGTTGTAGTAGTAGTAGTAGTAGCAGCAGCAGCAGCAGTCGTGGTCGTAGTAGAAGTAGTAGCAGCAGCCGTCGTCCCAGTAGTAGTGTTAGGAGGAGCAGTCGCATTAGCCGCAATCGTACGAGAGTTGTGGTCGTAGTCGCAATGGTCTCCGTCGTCGTGGTAATAGCTGTCCAGCGTCGAGCTGGCTTGAGTGAGGCGTGCAATCTGATGTCCCAGACAAAGTAGAAGTAAAAGTATCCGGGGAAGTCTGCCTTCAAGTTATGTCTTAAGATTTTGACATGATCGGGGCGTCCCAAACGACACAACTGGACGCGAATAAGGCAGGGAAAACCTGCCAGTATTGGGGGACACAGACTCCATCATCATCATCATCATAGACTTCATCATCAGCAGCAGCACCATCTTCGTCATCATCAATCAACATCATCTCTTCGAGCCGGGCCGTCTCGGAGGGTTTTGAAAAAAAGGCCCCGCAGTCTCCAGCCTTCTCAGCTGTACTAAGACGTGCGACTTCAGGCTTCGCAGTAACCTTCCGGGCATGGCAGGGAGGCTTTGCAAGGAGACACCTGAAGTAGGGCTTCCGCTTCAGGGTTCAAGAGAAAGGTGGAGACGTGATCAGGAGCTGCATGCACCTATCTTGGGAACCCCGCTTCCTCTGTAGCTGATCTTGCGCATGATCCCTCGCCTGGGTTGCCTCGCCTGCCTGATCTGCGATGAAGCCAAGCTGTCTGGAATAGAGACTGCTAACCCAATCATCTCTGAAAGACATTTACACAACCGAGACCCGAAAATCAACAAGGCAATGCTCATCAGCCATGCCGGAAGCTGCTCCTGATCTCAGCTGCAGACTAACCTAAAGTTGATGGAATGATTCGGCCTGCATGTTTCGCATCTTGCTTCCCCTTTCGGACTGCTTCGTGAACCACGACATGCGCCTCGCAGGCTTCGACAAGGCATCACGTCGGCAAGCATGCAATGCGGAGTACACCGTCCGAACATGATGCTTGTAAGCGAGCAGCCTCGCTACACGCTGCATGTTCGCAAATTTTAACGTCAATGGCATTTACAGTATGAACTGCAGGACTTGTGCCTCTGATGTCTTATCCTAGAGAGGACCTGCGCTTGGTCGAAAGGGATGGCAACGCTGCGCTGGCAAGCGTCCTGCGTTTGCGCTTGCACGCTCTGTCAGACCAAGATTGTAGCAGAAACACAGAAGAGTGAGGCGGCTGTCGACAGACTGTGTCTCTTGACCAGCAACAGCATACACAGCAACTGAGACATCCTTTTCCGGCAAAGGTCCTGGACTTTCTTGGAGTCTTAGAGGCACTGGCCGCACTGGGAACCTGAGCTTTGTCGAGTGAATGCGCCAAGCTATGACTGGGGATGACCACGGTGCCGGCCGGCCGAAATATCGGCGCCTTAATAGTTAGAATCGGGTTCTTGTGGGCTCATTGTACTATTATCAGAATAAGGAACCCGACAATAGTAGACACCTCGTACAGCCCGCCGAGATGCAATATTCTCGAAGATGACGGATTCCTGGGTTACGAGCTATCAAGACGCAACCACTTCGCACGAGATACAGTTGCTCCGATACCAGCACAAGACCTACATGGGCATGCGAACTAGGAATCCTGAAGCACCCGTTCAAGTTGGCCCGAAGCCTTAAAAGGTACTTGCCGCGGAGTCCTCGTCGCTGCTCTTCAAGCTTCTTTGCAGCTTCTGATTGTTCTCATCATCCTGGCGTCTGATGTGCTCAGAATTCAGAGGATTTCCAGATGTCTTGTTGCTGTGGCACGCTAGATGGTCTGCCTGGCCCCAGCCCCTTCGGCTACGAACATGAAGAGGCTGCTTCAGCATGACGGTCACTATGTAGGGCTGATCTGAGGACACTTCAGACGCTTCAGGCCGGTGTCAGGTGTGAAGAAGATTTGATGGGGGAGCATTCGTCTCGCGTCTGAAGGCTTCCGTAAAGATAGCGTAAGAAGCGCTCATTGCTGCGACTTCCGTCACCCTTCTCAGCACTGGCCCAGGGGGCTCCCTAGTTTGATGGTAGCTCTTCCCTGTGGTTTGGTACTTTGGCCCTGGCACATGCGGCGCACGGTTATCTCCGCACCTCCCTGGGACCAAGGAACCCAATCGTAAAGAGTTTCCTTCTGGAGTTTGTCGCAGCAAGAGCGGATGCTGTGAATGGATCGCCTCTTCAGCGAAGCTCTTCCTCCGTCTTCTCGGAGAGGCTGCTTGATGTACTACTCGGGCGGTCTCCTGTCGACCCCGTAACCTGACCAAACCCGAAACCTTTAAGCCGGTGCTTCAAGTCTAGTCGAGGAAGGGTGACGCTGTCGCGGCCCCACTGCCTCGTGTTAGGACATCTAGGATTGATCGCAGCACGTTGCTAAATTCACTGTAGCTTTCGCGACAAAACATATTTGTGCACCAATTTTGAAAAGACGGGGTCAGCTTACCAAGTTGCACAACTTTTCGTGGCAACGACATTTACCTAGCGTAGTGATTGACTACGTGCACAACCTGTCAGTTCCGACTTTCCCTGAATCACCTAACTGCTGATTTTGTTGATGTCGCGTACATATCCAGGCCACATGCGGAATTGGTACTCTAATTTTCCAGCCAACTGGCCCTTTGAGAAACAGGGGAACGCAAGCCGAGCAATCCTCATCAGGCATCATCGCTGACCGGGTAAGTAAAAGCAAGGGCCCCGAAAGCTCGCATGAGCATGAATGCAATAACTTATGAGTCATGACTGTGGAAACTACCCCTAACTTATGAGTTTATGACTATGGAAACTACCCCTAACCCACGAGTTTATGACTATGGAAACTATCCCACATGACTCGTTGCACGAAGTCGCAGCTTGAAGCCACGCCTCCGGCGCAGTTGACGCACGCAAGGCCTCGAGCACCAAGGGTCTCTTGAGAGAGGAAGGCCTATCGGTTTAGGGTTTAGGGTTTAGGGTCCCTGACTTCATTCCAAGTCCAAACCCAAAGAAGGAGCCCGTCCCCGAACAAGGTGCAGAAAGGTGGGCCGAAGATTCTTGTGGGGATGGCACACTTTCCTGGCCTTCTTCGGTGCTGCAGGTTTCTGCTGTGTCCTTTCCGCAGACGCTTTCGCAGCAGACGTCTGCAATTCCTCGCACTGAAGAGAATGATGATACTGAAAGACATGTCAACATCACGAGCCATGGCCGAAGATACCGTTTCGCTCGCGATTTTCCCGAGACGACGGCTCGACTCACCAAAAAGGCTGGTGGACTTCTCTGATATGACTGTGGCTCGGCCAACGGTGGGTTCGAAACTTCCACGGATGCGCTCGGTCAATAATAATATACTAATATAATAATGAAACAATATTGCTTATAATTTGATTTGTATTATATTATTAATATAATAATGTAATAAAATTAGTTAATTCTTTCACAAATGCAGCAGCGTCCTCTGGGCCGACCGGGGTCCCAAAGTTCGACCTGACCATCTGCCATGCTCAAAGTCGCTCCAGCGCGCGGTGTAGAGTCTTTAGAGTTTGCGACCGCCCAAGGCGAAGCATGGATGTTGCAGTCAACAAGCTGAACAGCAGATATTCTCCACGTGTATGGCGCCGTTGAAGAGCAAACACACGTGCATTGTTGAAGCATGGGCTTACGTGCATGAATGTGGGTGTGGGTAGGTACCTTACACAATGGAACATACACGAAGAGACCAGGAATTCTCACGCGAAGGTCTGTGGAGGCAGGTGGCCGGAACGAGATGCTTTCACTTTGAGGCTTCACCGAAATTGAAGCGCTCTCAGTGACGTTGGCCTGCTTTGCCTGGGCTGTGTGTGACGTCGTGGGCAGTTATGCTTCGGGGTTCAAGCAGGGTTTGCAAAGTGGTGGATGTCCGAGGCTTGAAGCTCTGAAGTCAGATCTGCGGCAGTCGGATAGTGTCAGGTTTTCCACAAGCCCCGCAGCGCAGGACCGCAATAAGTCTTCAAGCTTCTGCTGGAGGCTTTGACATACAGTGGGGGTTAACACGGCTCCTGAGTGCCTTCATAATTTCGTGTCCGAGCCTGGCTTGCCTCGCGAAGGATGTATGCTGGAAACTGCGAAAACATGTGTATATATATATATATATGTAAAGACTGTCCGATGTTGTACGAACCTAGAGCGTACATCCTTAGTACGGCACCGGGTCACCCCATTATGCATCATTGCAAGTTGCAATAGTAATTGGTAGTTGTTGAAGCTGGTTACGCAGCATATCAGTCTATGTTGCATGTGTATATCATCTGTATATATATATATATGTATAGCATATATATATATATACACATTCACATTGTGTATGTACTTATGCATACATGCATGCACGCATGTACATGCACGTGCATGCATGTGGAATAAACGACTGTGTGTGTATATATGTATATATGTATGTATATGTTTATATACAGATACATATATATATATATATATGCACGCATATGTTGTGTATCTATGTATCATATGTGTCGTAAGTAAGTATGTATGAATGCATGTAAATACGTGCATGTGTGCAGCTGGAGGTCCCAATTTCCTAGTTTACCAGCTCAAGCCAATGTTAGAGGTTGCGAGACGCAATGGAAGCAAAAAACAACCCTGACCTGGAGATCCGAATGCTAACCCTACTAACCCTAAACCCCTAAACCCTAAATCCCTAAATCCCGCAGCCCTAAATTAAAATCCTAAGCCGATCTTTTCTGAGTGGCTTCCTCCAGCTGCCGGTCCAGCATCTGCCTTGCTACGCGAGGTCATGCAACATTCTCTCGCGGGCGCGAAACGACGGCTTCCTTCAATCCTACACTAGACCGTAAACCCAAGAAGGCATGTGTATATATATATATAATACTACAGATGTGTTAATTAAGTCTATATTAGTACTACTATCTTGTCAATATGATATTACCATTCTGACATGTACTTGCTGTGGCGAACTCGGGACCCGGCAGCAGCTCTATCTGTTTCAGCACCATGTTGGCCCTGAGATCGACCAGCCCCTGGTGCCTCAGCTTTGAGGCATTCACTCAACATGGGAATTTCCGAAATTGGGGGTACCTTATTTTCCTTATAATAAGGATCCTACTATTTAGGGCACTATATTAGGATATATTCGGGTCCCCTCTTTTCGGAAGCTCCAATCTGAGCATCTGCAGTGTGTACTTGCTCGGTCCCACGGACCTTGTTCACGCAACTCAGCATGGAAAATAACCTGGTGTCCCCGCCAGCACGGGACTCGCAACCCGCTTTTCACCGAAAGAGCTTCGTGCGTGCATCGATCGGTATGTCGGGATTGAGACACGCTCCCTTGTGAGGTAAATTTGAATCCCAGACGTGCTCGTTCGTGTGACTGCACGAGGTGATAGGAGCAAAAAGCGCGTCATGCACCTTCCTGAATGCGCAGGTTCAACAAAAGGGACTATGTCCGATAGAGGAATCCAGTCTCAAACGTGCCGATGTGACTGGAAGAACGGAGTGCTTAGGCGCAGCGTCCTGTAGCTGCAATGGACTGCAAGACTTCAAGCCAAGGCCGAAACCAGCATGTAGCACGGGTACATCCTCCTACACACACACAGCCATATTCGACTCAATACCCAAGAGTGCTTCCCAGGCATTGTGCATGCGTACATGTACGCGGGGTTACAAGCACGGAAACTATGACTGTAACCGATTCATACCCATTCTCACTTATGGGAGTCTCCGAAAACAGGGGACCCGAATATAGTACCCTACACAGTAGGATCCTTATTAGAAGGACCCCAAAATAAGGTGGTACCCCTAATTTCGGAAACTCCCTTATGGCCACCCACGAACCTCGTTAAACCAATGGTTTCCACCTTGAGCCGCACTGTACTGTGCAGGGTCAGTTCCGGCGCGACCGTCCAAGATTCAGTGTTAACCAGACCGATAATAATACAATAAGGCTATATGAATACTAATAATACTACTAGATTACTACCATAACAAAACTATACTCATACCATAGCATAATGATGCTGTAACATACTAATACCATGGTATAATGATGCTGTAACCCCTTAAGATTTTCCAAGGGACAGTCGCATCTGCAGCTCGGGAGCTTCGTGCGATGCAAACCTTCAAAGAGCAGTGCGAAAAATGGGCCACCAAATAAATACCTATATATAGATATAGATATAGATATAGATATAGATATAGATATAGATATAGATATAGATATAGCGCAATATATATATATATATATATATATATATACATACATACATACATACATACATACATACATACATACATACATACACACATATGTTGAGCGTACATTATATTGTGCATTTATGTTGTATTTAATATGTAATATTGTAGTGTATTATAGCCGTCTGAAAGTGTGTTCGTAGCACGGGGCGCGTCCCGGTTGTGGAATCGCAGCATGCTAACAGAAGCATCTTGACATGTCTTGGTGCAAGACATATTTAAAAGCGTCACCGAAATCTCATTGCTCATCTAATTCCATTTCCGATCCGAACGAAACTAAAGCTACGGTGGAATTAATGACAAGAACCTAAATGCGAATACCCCCGTCACCACCCCAATCTGGAACCCGCAACGACGGTTTAGGCTTTGGAGGTTCGGATTTACAGCTTTCCGATTCCTAGTCTTAATATAGTGGCTAGGAGCCTTAACAATTGGAATAGGGTTTTGGGGCATAATACCCATCGCCGGCAACATTGCCTCGTGGAGAGCTGCATAGCACCTTCGGCAGCGGCCGCTGCTGTACCCTAAACCCTGGCCCTGCACTCAAACTCTAAACAGCAACCCTATATGTGAGTTTCCGATAATTAGGGGTACCTTGTTTTGGGGTCCATATAATAAGGATCCTACGATTTAGGGTACAATTAGGGTCCCCCATTTTCCACAAGACTTGTTGTTGAAAGCACTGTCAAGGACAGATCCAGAATCCTCATGCACTTGCATCGAACTCACGCTCGTCAGTGATCTTTCGTTTGAGTCTACGGCGGCATCCAGCCACAAGCGTTCAAGATAAATTCCGCATTAAACAAGAACGAAGACGTGTCATGCTAATGCCTGACGGGCTGCTGACCGATTCGAGACCTTCTTGCTCGATGTCAGCAACGCGTGCCTGGCCACGATCCTCAGAAGACGAAGCAGTTGATTAAAATACTCGACCAAAGAAGTCGTCAATTTTAGATGAGAGTCTGATGCCTTCACAGCAGTGCCATTCGCCGACTTGACCTACGAGAAGCCCGTCCATCACTGCCACATGGAGGCAGGTTAGAGACTTGTGGGGAAACGAGAGGCACGGCATGCCAGGCTCGACAACCGGGTCGAATCCAACGTTCTTTGCAAACGCCCTCCTGCTCCCACACCCCAAACATGCAGCTGCTACGAGTCTTGGCTCACGGCAATTTCAAACGAGTTCGCCTCGTCCCTTGGAAGAATCGCCTGCTGATGACGTGGTGGGTCAGGATCGATCAGGCCTCGCAGGAACGGTCGATCGCTGGCGAAGAGAAAAAATGCACCAGAAACTTCTACAGCATTCCCATTGAACCCGTTTCTCTCCGCTCCGCCAGGTAGCTGTGTGGAAGGATCGGCAAGTCATGTGTATGTGCTGCTTCCATGGCCGCAAGTGCAGCTTTGTTGCTGTTCGCAACAGCCAGAATCGGTTCGACACTTTGCGATTGTGCTCTGTGTTGTATTATTTACTTGCTCTGCATGCGCGATCTGTCTTGACTGGCGACGACGACACAAGCATGCTTGAGCCACGCGCTTTGCGAAACGAGGCCTGATGCGAAGACATACACCCCTGAGGGTCAGCGTTTTTGCACAACCAGTCCACCCAATCCTGGCGACATGACTCACTCGCTGCTTGCTTGGGCGTTTCCACAGAACTGCATGATATTAAGCAGCCAGCATATCATGTCCTAAACCCTAAACCCAGTATAGTTTGAACATCTTTGAACACTACCACAGAGGAGGGTCCTGTCGGCCGGGCCTCCGGCCAGCGATGCTGCAGCGGGGGCATGCGGAAGCCGGTTTGGTTACTGTAAAGGGTTCCTATAGGGTTACTATAGGGTTCTTATAGGGTTATTATAGGGTTTTAAGAGGTTGGAGGTTGGTGGCGTTTCCAGAGCTCCTCGCACTTTGCCGAAACAACACGTTAAGCATTGTACGAGAGATCAGAGCTATCAGCATTTTGTTTCTCATCTGATCTGCGTCCCTTCAAGCCGTAAGCAGGATGTCATTGCTCGACCCGGGATGGCATATCATGGCATGTAGCAGGCGTCGCATGTGGCCTTGCCGCCGTTTTCCGAGCTTTGCTTCTCATGGTAAAGTCACAAAGCCAAGCAAAGCTACGAGCTAGTCGTCACTAGTCGGGGTACGACCACGAGAAGTTTCCGAACTTTGCTCGGAATCGGTCGTTGTGGCAATAGTTCATCTGGCAGTAAGTGACGTCGCACTGGAAGTTTCCCATTGCACACGCAGTCATCGCCTAAGCTCCATGTCATGATGACCATGCCAGGTGCAGAGAGAAAATCTCCTTGGATTCCATTAGCCTTAAGTTGAATCCAAGATACTGAAATCCCGGCCTCATGACGGGCGATTTTGACCAGAGAGCCCCATCCGGTAAAGTTCCACTCCTCAACATGCGACTCAAGTGCAGGAGACGGAGCCTGACAGACGTCAAACGCCGCAAGCACTCACGCGTGCCTTGGGGATGTGGTGCTTGGTCGCAACCTCGAGGGCACGTGCCAGCACCGCCATGTAGTCCTTCCAGCCGAGTTCTGTCCACCTTCGGCAAACCCAGCATACCCATAGGCCCCAAAGTAGTTCCTTTTTGGGATTACCTAATAGGATTCTAAATATGAACCCCAAAAAGGAACTACTTTAGGGCCTCTGGGTAAAAGCGAGAAAGACCTCCCAACATGTGGGATCCGCAGGCCAACATGCTTCGTCCCAGGTCGCTCTTAGGGTTTAGGGTTTAGGGGTTTAGGGTTTAGGTTTGTAAGGCCCAGCCTCTGTCCATAAAGCTTGTTGCAGATGCCTTCCGCTTCCTGCATCGTTGTCTTTTCAGTAACCTGCGTGTTGTTGCAGTGTCCGGAGACGAAACAGTAGATCGCATCGGCACCTCAGCGAAACCAGGAAGCAGACTTTGAAATCTATCTTACCATGCCCATGAAACATCACCACCACCACCATCACCACCACCACCAACAACAACAACAACAACAGCAACAACAGCAAACCAACAAAAAGAAAACAAAAAAACTCCTTACCTTTGGTTAGTAGGGAATGGAAGCATGGTAGTAATAGTAGTTATAATTGTACCCCATTCCTCCATTCCCTACTAACCAAAGGTAAGATGACTGCCTGTCATTGCAAGAACCATTCCGGGCGCTGGAGTCTCCTGACACACTGGGACGCCGACTCGTGAGCTTGAGCTTCTGCTGGGACTTGAACATCCTTGGGGGTTTAGGGTCTAGGGTTCGGGGGTTTAGGGTTCAGGGGTTTAGGGTTTGGGGTTTAGGTTTTTGGGGTGGGGGTTTAGGATTTAGGGTTGGGAGCTGAGACTTGAGGGTTGCGGCGTTCGTGTTTCATTGGGACTTTTGCTTTGATACTTGGAGCGCAACAAAGTTTGAAGTACGGAGTTTGAGCGCTCGGAAGCTTGAGGGATCGCTTCACTTCGGTCTCAGCCGCTAGCATCCCTCCAGAAGCCATGACAGCTTCTGCACCCGAGTTCGAAGAGGCATGTCCTAGCCCTTGTTTTTGGCACTGGTTCTGTGCTTGATTACACCTTCACCCATGTCAGGCTGCTCCCGGCCGTATCCACGAGAATCGCTCTCCACGATGCACCTTAGATACTCACAGCTTCGCAGCTTCTTTCGGATCCGAAGTTGAGCAAGAGCCGCTCCCATTAGGGTTTGTGGGGTTGTGCCAAAAAAAGGCTTTGAGGTTCAGGTCACTTTCGCGCTTGCCGTATCTTGCGAAACATAAACCGAAGCCTTTGGTCCCACGTTGTATACTATATCTAAATACAAATATGTGCATCCCTCCATCCCTTCATCCCTCCCTCCCTCCATCCCTCGCTCCATTCATCCATCCATCCCTCCATCCGTACATCCGCACATCCGTACATTCGTACATCCATCCCTCCATCCCTCCATCCATCCATCCATGCATGTACGTGTGCATGTATGCCCGATATGACATGATGGCATATGATATGTATGTATGTGCACATGCACATTGCGTATTTGTAGTGAATTCAGGGTGCTTCGGCATTGTTGATACACTTGTAAGATGAGGGGCTGTAACTGTCAAGCAGCAAGAGAACAAAATCTCAAGGCTCCTAGCTATACCCCACACGACCACGCCGATGACAGAGACATGCTACAACAGCCTGCAACATCCTGGGGAGCGGGTCAGAGCCACTGCAGCTCAGATAGCACGAAACTACACCAAACGAAGAATGCATCGTGAAGACTACTGTGAACTGAACCTAGTTCGAGTCTCCCGACTGAACCTCTCATACTGACATGCGCTCCAAGCACTTCTGCATCGAAGTGGAATACATCGGGTATGCCCGGCACCAGCTTCTGAGATTGGCCTGTGCACGCGGCTGCGGCGCGCCGCACCAGTTTTTCGACAATGCTATCATGCTTCAAAGGGTCATGGGACTTAGAAACTAGGTGTATAACTCAGGTACCTATACTGATAACCCCAATTAGGTAAGTCCCATGATCCTCCAAGTAACCCTGTGGCATCCTGTGGCCTAAACTAGAAGAAGTCACCAAGATACCCCTTCATAGCAATCACACACAACGAACGAAACGAGTGGCCGGGGCCCAGTGCCCTCTGCTCTTGGCCCAACCAGGGAGAGGCTAATAAGTAGGATGGCTGGGAAATTGGATGAAACTGTTGGTGCATACATGGCCTTTGCTGGAGCGGTGTCTTATCAGTGCGGACACGTGGTTACAAACACAGACCTGGTTATCAAAGCCACGCTTCGCACTTGTCCAGTCGGAAGAACATACTGATCTGGTAATCGACTACAATCTTGCCAATCTTGAAGATCCTCCGCCATCCGCGCAGTCGTCGAGGTAGAAGCAGTAATGGCTGCAGTAGACATAGCAGCAGCAACTTGGCAGGAGGATGAGGAGTAGTAGTAGTAGTAGTAGTAGTAGTAGTAGTAGTAGTAGTAGTAGTAGTAGTAGTAGTAAAGTAGTAGTAGTAGTAGTAGTAGTAGTAGTAGTAGTAGTAGTAGTAGTAGTAGTAGTAGTAGTAGTAGTAGTTGTTGTTGTAGTGGTAGTAGTAGTGGCAGTAGTAGTAGTAGTAGTAGTAGTAGTAGTAGTAGTAGCAGTTGGTCTCGAGCCGGCCTTACCGCTGCTGGTCGCTATTCGCGTTTCCATGGCCGTCTTCTCGCTCTCCGTCAGGGGGTCCTCTGAGGCAAGCGCTTGCAGGTTATGATCTGCGCTTTACCATTGCACTAGCGTGAGGTAACTTGTTTGCAGGGTTGACGGTGACATCAAGAACCCCAAGGTCTGCCTGTTGGCGGGCAAAACCTTCAAGAGGCAGGGGCTGCCTCTACTTGTAGATTGAGTGCAGGAGGTGTGCACAAAGCTGTAATTGCGAAGAAGTGTAAATCTCGTCTGCAACGAACCGTGCGCCATGAAGGAACCAGGAAGTGTTTGCCGCAAGCCAGGACTCGGACTATAGCTATACCTTTGGAAACGGAATGAAGCCGACAGAAACATCCGATGGTGAGGGAACCGAACACAAATCCCTCCCTCCCACACTCAAGCCCAACCTCGAGAATTCATTCTTCAACCGCGGCAGCAAGCTATGCTAACCACTCTGCAAATGGTAAATGCTCAGAGATATGACACGGACCCAAGGAAAATTTGCAGCGCAAAATCTTACCACACAGCCATGTGCGAACTTCACAGACTCATCAGCAGCTCCTTAGAGCAGTTGAGCTTCTTCGTGCAGAACATGGGGAACTTCTTGCAGTCGACTGCACTCCTGGGCGGTTGGAGGCTTCTGACTGCTGCTAAGCTGTCGAACCACCGGCGATGCGAGGAAGAATATGTAATCGCATCTGTAACATATTCTGGAAATACTGATCTGCATACATACGATGTGTATATGTATATACATACACCCACATAGACATACACACGCACATGAGCATGCACATACCCCTTCAAATACGCATGTGCAAGCACATACATATACATATACATATACATACACATATACATATACATATACATATACCTATGCATATGCATATACAGACACATATGTATGCATATGCATATACATTTGTATGTACGTGTATATACACGTGCATGTGTACGTGTATATGTACATATATATATATATATGTACATATACTGTATACAGTACGTCACAGTATGTGTATACTAAGCTGCCGAGCATCCCCTCGCCCTCCCAAGTCGGAGGCTGCTGAAGTTGCAGCACACGACTCACCACGTGCTGCACTGCCTGAGCCACCAAATACTCAGACTCAACCCCCCCCCCCCCCACTTCTACATTGCTATCAGCCAAGCCATGCCCTTGCGAATTTATGAAGCTGCGTTGCTTTTTTCATGTCCGTTCCGGTTGCAGCAAGAGCTTCTGTGCTGCAGGCTCGAGGCTTTGAAAAAAGCACTCGCCGACCACACGAACCCCAACAGCATTCTGTCCACTGCGCTAGGTACTCCCAGGGTTGGCTGCATTCACCTGCGACCCTTCGTCCCCACAAAACAAGGAAAAATACAACGATTCACCTTCCATGAAGCTTTAAACGCTGTGAAGACACCTGTTCGTCGCTGTGAAGGCCTCTCGCAATCAGCATCTCCTTGTTCGTTGCTCATGCATACACATTTGCAAGAGGAACAAAGACGGCTTGCAGAGCCCAGGTTCTTCGTCAGATTCTTCTGTCGATTCGACTCGCGCGCCCGCATGATAGCTCTCACCGGCCTTGGCATCTGCTCGAAAGAGTGAGACACGCTTTGTAGCTTTGAATCGCGAATGCGTCGACAGTTTTGATAGTCGGGCTCCCGGCTTTGATGCTGCGGACGCCAGTTTGGAGAAGTTCCTGCGGCGAAGCTGCGGAGCAACTCCAAAAGCTGCCGAGGCTTTCATGGGTGCCCAATCTCCCGAGCTGAAGGTTTCTTCCTCACTTGGTCATCGTCAGCGCATGCAGAAGCAAGAGATGCCACTGTTGTACAGTGTGATGGCCGGGAGGGATCGCGGTGATGATGATGATGATGGCGGCAGTATTGATGGTGGTGGTGGGGGAGGATGAGAATTTGTTCAATGTAGTAAGAACGGCCTCAGTATGGGGGTTTCTGAAAATAGGAGACCCAGTTATTGTACCCTATAAGTTCTAAGATCCCAAATAGGGTACCCCAAATTTTCGGAAACTCTCAAAGGTGGTCTCGAGTCTCCTACGCAGCTCACCCGGACACTGCATCTGCCACGTGGGCAGATACTATTGTAGGAGCCTATGTAATTACCAACAATATTCCTTGTGCCTCTTATTATAGTTATATACCAAAAAGGCGCCCAAAACCCTATACTAACTTTTATAGGCCCTAAATATTCCTTCAGCATCCCGCGATGACGGGCCTCCCTTGCCCTGGAGATCGGTCCTGGCGCATCACCTGAAGCTCTGCCTCCTCTTGCTTCTCCACTTCATGTTCGGCCATACACTCGGAAGCATCGCCTCGTACGCCTCAGAGAACAGGAGGGGATTCAGCAGTTGAGGGGTGTTCTTCGAAGTCTGAACCCAAAAAGCTGCACCTGTGCTGCAGTCTGAGTCCCAGGGCTGCGGAAAGCAAGGACTGCAGCTGCGAGGAAAGCTGGTGTGCGCATGCTTCGGCGCGTCATGAATCTGCAGGTATGTGTCGGCCCACACTCAGACATGCACTCATGCGACATTCATTACATGTAGCATTATGTGCGCACTCTGCAAGATACAGTCCTGTAGGGCCCATTATACTATAAATATAATATGGAACTCCCCGAAATAATGCAGATAATCATTAAGGCCCCTATGGTAAGTCTCTAGAATGGGCAACAAACCCGTGGAAATGTAGACTCCGTGGAGGTGGTGCCGCGAGCAGCTTCTGCCGTGGGTCTTCGGTCACTGCCGCTGCTGCAGCTTGAGCCACGTCCGCGGCAATCTCTCAGAGTCCCAGAAGCTCCAATAATTCAGGGATATTCCATAAATCATTTTACAAATCCTACGATGTAGATTTTAAGGTATTGCGGAATGTTCCTTGAATCATATCAGGGATCCTGCTATAGTGTAAGGTACATTCCTTAGTAGAGGGATCTTCGAGTCTCTCAGAGTCACGGCAGCGGTGGCGACCCCTGCTCGCAGGAAACAGCAAACCCCCTCGATGTGTCATTGGCAACGTCATGCACTCAAGCGATCGGGAGTTTCCGAAAAGAGGGGACCCCGATTTTGTACCCTAAATAATAGGATCCTTATCATAAGCCGCCCAAAACAAGGTACCCCTAGTTTTAGGAAACTTCCATCTAGACAAGGACAAAGGACCGGTCTTGAAGCCATGAGATCTTCATCTGGCAAACTGTCAGCTACAAATGCTGTCACTACTCTAGCAATGGAGGTTTTGGGGTTTGTTGTTCAGGTTGTCACTTCTACAGTTTTTTGCATTGGATGAGAATGGGCACGAGGATTGCAGCACAGCGGAATTCTTCCCTGGCTGCAAAGGGCAAAAGGACTGCAAGTTTGACGGTCGCGCTGACCAAATCCTCTTCTGCTTGGGAGGCAGACATACATTAAACAACGCAGTCAAGCTTGTGTTCTGAGGACGGCCAGTGTTGCTACTCTTGTCTGCATTAAAGTACGTACCTTGGCCTCATTCAAAAATGGGGACTAGTCTCGGGCAAAGTGAGGCTGCATAGGCTTCCATACAAAAACGTGCGTGGCAACTTCTGGTGGGCGCAGCTGTGTAGAGAACACAAGCCGTCATGGCTCAACCTTGAAACAGGTCATCGACTGCTATGGGAAAAAGCCTGCTACACAAAACTTTTAAAAGACCCGCCTGCCTGTTGTTCATGGCAGGCGGGCTGGCCACGAATTAGCTGACCTCGCCGACAGGCCTTGAGCCTCCAACTTCTAGAAAGCTCCAAGAGATGCCTCTCTCAGGCTCTGAAAGTGCACTTCTCCCTTATGAAAAGCTCTTAAGTCGTGTATATCTATATATATATATATATTTATATATATATATACATATATATATATAGTATTTTGTATTATATTATATATATATATATATGTTACACACACTTGGGCAGATTAGTAGCCATCCTGCTGCTGGTGCTTCTGCCTGTGCAAACTCAGGGCTGCCATGAGCCTGCAACCGGTGCAAGAGGCGGCTGGGAATGGTCAAAGGACACTAATCTAGGAGCCTTAATAATACTATTTTGGGGGTTCAGAGTTTGGGGTTTAGGGTTTAGGAGCCTTAATAATCCCATTTTGGGGGTTCCGTACTATAGCTATAGTATAGTTGGGCCCCAAAACCCGATCCCAATTATTAAGGCCCCTCTACTAGCGTCAAATGCTAATAACTCAACATCAAACCTTGAATCAGGAGGGATGACTAGTCATGACTAGTCGGCACTTGCGGAGAACCGATAGTAAGGATATTGTGCAACGGAAGCTCCGCAGTCCCAAACCTGGGATAAAATGCATGTCTGAGTTGACTGCTTGTCTTGCAGCATCCTACTGTGATTTGATGGCATGAAGCCTGCTGCCTGGATCGCCTTGGCGAATCTCCCACATTGCCATCAATAACCCACTAGATGAGTTGCGAGCAAGTCCGAGTCGTCGGGGGCTAGAGCAGTGGATTAATTTACGTGTTCTCGTTCGCGGGGCTTCGCAGTGATGACCTCGCCATGACCACATTGCATGACAACAGTGCTGCCACTAGTCATCCTTCCAGTTCTCATTGCTGGCGGTGGTCAAAAGTTCCCGCAGCCATTGGTAGAGCTTCACACCTGCCGCCCTCGATTGAGACCTGGCCTGAAGCATGGACGAAAATCCTGACACCCAAGCACCACCCGTGCACACCCAGACTGCTGAACTGCCCTGCCTGTTGGGCGCAAAGCTGCCGGTGAGGAGCGTGCCGGGCAGCATGTCGGGATTCTCCTTCCATCCACAACTAAGCAGTCTGCAGACCGAGGAAATGTCCCTCCACACCTCGTCAGAGCTGTCACCAGGTCGGGGCAAGAAGCAGAGGTAGTCCGGAACACCATCACCTGTGACCCAGCGCACAGACAAAGCTCCGCAGAAAGGGGTCCAGGCACCAGCAACGTTGGCTTTTGTTCCAAATAGCTGTGTCGACCCTGCAAGCTGGGCCACACCGTCTCCATCAGCCGCCATCATGCGCAGGAGGCTTTCCTGGCATCACAGGGCTTTGCTGACGGGAGGACTTGTGGGCTTGAGCTTGTCTTTGCACGGCAGTTGGAAGCCCAACCGACAGCCGATTCCATCATTTTAGTCTCTGCGCTTTCGCTTATTGCAAAGCAATCCTTCTACACCGAGCTTAGACATTCCATCTCACGGTAGATGTAAGGGTGCGCACATGCTTCTGCCGCCGCATCTCCAGAGCGTAGCAGTAGATGATGGTGTCGAAAACCTGAAGCTCAAGAGGCTCGGCAGAAGGCCGCAAGCCACTGAGCAGCCCCTGCCCTTGCTCCTTATGATCTGAGCTGGCCACTGTGTCGAAGACCAGCATGATGCTTCGGCCTTATCTCAGATGTCCACAGCTCGGATCACTACGCCCATGTTCGGCTCACGGGCCCATCTAGTTAATCTACTTGGACCGTATTGCTGCAGGTAGATCGGCAGATTAGGGACACATCAGCGGGTTGGAGGAATCATCTGAGAAGTTAAGTGCCGCAGGGGTCAGCCGAATATTGCGCGACTTCCACGTAAGCCCATGCTTCCTCCCGA